TTCGCAAACCAATTCAGAGTATTGAGCAATTTGAAGTTTTTCAAAATGTCGTAGCTTGAATAGCAAGCTTTTGAATAGCAAGCTTTTGAAAATTTGATCGTTTGAATGGGTTCAGAGAATTAATAGCTTGCTTAAGAAATACTTGATTTTGCGCGTACTGATTCGCTCTATGAATTAAATTGAAACTTTTCAAAGTTATTCGCTTAATAGCCTGCTTTGAAAAACTTAGTTTTTTGCAAACCAGTTCGATATATGAATTAACTTGAAATATTTCAAACTTTCATCGCTTGAACGGCTGCAATAGGAAAATTTTCGCTATCCGATTCTTTTTCGAGAATTAATCTGAAATAGTTCATGGTTTGATAGCTTGAATAGCTATCTTACGCGAGAAGTTTGATTGTTCTCGGACTGATTCGCTCTCTGGAACAATTTTTTTTTGCTAAATAGCTTGCAAAGAAAAGGTTGATTTTTAGCAAACTGGTTTGGTCTAAAAACCAACTTGAAATATTTCAAAGTTAAATTGCTTGACTGGTTTCAATAGAAACACTTAAAGATATCGCCATTTGATTTGCTTCATGAAGTAACTTGACATTTTTCAAGCGTTGAGAGCTTGAACACCTTGCTTGGAAAAACTCAAATTTTTCGCGAAACGTTTTGATCTGAAAGTTCTTGAAATATTTTTAAAGTTTCATAGCACGAATAGATTGCTTAAAAAGTGGTTGAATTTTCGAAGAACGATTGTTCTAACAAGTTACTTAAATTTTTTCAAAGAAGCATCGCTTGAATTGATTCAACGAAAAAACTTCAATTTTTTGCCATCCGAATTGATTATAGATTTAATTTAAAACAATTCAAAGTTATTTAGCTGGAACAGCTTGCCTAGAAAAACCTAAAAATTTTGCAAACCGATTCGTTTCATTGAAGTTAAAGTTTTTCAATCAATTTACGATATGTATAGTTTGAATTTGATCGAAGTTTCATTGCTTGAATAGCTTGATCAGATTAACAACTAACCTTTTGTGAGTCAATTGATTATTGGAGACGGTCTTGCTAGTTTGTTTCAAATGAAACTCAGTGAAAAAAGCTTCAATTTAGTAATTTTTTTGCAATTTTCATTGGCTTATTTTCCGTTTGCGATTTTTTCTCAAAGCTAACTATATCATCTAGTACAGCGTTTTATGTGCAACTAGAACACTTATGTACAACGGTTGTTGTTACGTGCTTAACAAAATTTTGATTGAAACCTTTTGAGTTCGAGTTTTTCATTGCATTTTTGTCGGATTAGCTTACGTTTTTTCAAATGCTTTATCTAATGCAGCGTTGTATTTAGAAGTTTTTAAGCTACGGATACGACTCATTGCAATCGTTTACTAGACTTTTTTCCCGAAAATAACTTTGTACACAGAATGGTTACTGTAGTAGGAATGGTACATTTTTCCTAGGGCTGACATGCTCAATTTCTTGTAATTTCAAATATAACTTCTATCTTTTAGGTATTAGATGGGATGGGTGGGGTTCGTTTCAAGCAGCAAATGTTTTTTTTTTGTAAAATAAATTCTTGAAAAAACGTTGAATTTTTCCGATTCGTGGTTTTCGTCCTAGTTTCCGTCGGTTCGTTTTCCGTTTTTTAAAATGCCATTTATATTATCTGATTCGGTTTTCTAATTTCTAACGAATGGGTTTTGTTTTGTTTTAAACGTCTTTGTCTATAATTGAAAGCACTGTAATTTTCTAATTTTACCTACTCGATTTGTTACACTTGCAATTAGCAAGCGTTATCAAACCGGAATATAGACTTTTTTCGGCTTAACAATTAGTTTAACAGAATAAATTGAATCCTTTTACCATTTCATATGAAATCAAAAGTCAGACTTTGATTGGCACATGTGGCGAAGAGGTAACGCACATGTCTATAAAGACAAAGGTCAATTGTTCGAATCCAGCCAGGACCTGTTTTTTCGTGAGCGCAAAAAAATATCCGCGCAAAAAAAATCTTTGTCAGATTTCTGATTGTCGACGTTTTTTGTCGGCTTAGTTTCAGCAGTACCAAATTTGCCTAAAATTTGGAATTTCTTACTCAAACACAAATTTTTTTTACTCAATTTTGATTTTGGGCAAGAAATTGAGTTCCAATTAGTCCTTACACTTTTTTTTGCTATTCTTTTCTTGTTATTTATTTAAAATTTTCGGAAGTTATTTTCTGTATAAATTCAAGGAGTGTTCTGTGCACTTGGTTAGATTCAAGTTAGATACAAGTCGGGACCTGTTTTTTTGTGGAAATTTACATTGTTCGACTATTTTAGACTTTCGTGTCGCTAATTTTTGTCTACTTAGGTCCCGCAGAAAGGTTCGGATTCTTTTTAACATTTTTGAAAGCTATTTGTCAAGTTTCTTGTGCAGTTAACTTGCTCCAGGAATGTTTTGTTCTTTTAATAACTTTTCATTATTCCTACACTTTTTTGATTTTTTCCAATTTCTTTTTGTTTATTTTCTTTTTTCCACGCTCAATAGATTTCGGCCTACATTCTATCGGCGTGGTGACCTCATGTTGTTTTTTTGAAGAGCGAATAAATTTTTTGTAAGTGTGTGTTTTGAGGGCGAGGGGGAACTAATGAATTTTTTATAAATCTTTAGTCTTGTTGAGTTTTTCTGGTTAAACGGGTTTCTGCAAAGGTATTTTCGACTAAAGTAAGGTTACCCCTTGGAAAATTTTATTCTGATGCTGGTTTCGGATTATATTGTCCGGAAATGTTTTTGTTTCAAAACTAGCATTATTCAGTCTTACAGTTTTAGTTTTTTCGACATTTTCGATTTTTTTTCGACTTAGTGTTTTCCTTGTTTTGTAACGCAAATGGTACGAAACTCAGCTTCGCCTTTGTCTAATAGTTTTCGTTCGAATTTGATTGAAAGAAACTTTTTTGCTCGGTGTTTTATTTGTTTTTTTTTCAGACAATTGTTTTCGGTGAGGTTAGCATGCTTTAGCAAATCGGAGCTTTGGCTTTTCCTCGTAAATAACTTGTATAACAGAATCATTGATTCGTTTTCTAAAATCTGTCCTTTTGACAATAAAAATTTTTTTGAGCATGTCTGCGTTTTAGGTACTCACTCTTTTCGAATTTTTTTCATGTTGATTATATTTTACCAACTTCGATTTGTAAAACGTCATTTTTTCAATTTTTCATTTCATTCAACTAAAAGGGTTGCAATTTGCATTTTGTCGGTTTAGCAGCTGCATGTTGCGTCGTTTTGCAATCTCTTCGGAATTTTTATTCCGATAATAGTTCAAAAGTCAATTTTCTTACTTAGTATGTTTTTCAGCAAAAAAATTTTATTCTGTCCTAATGTAGGCAAAAAATTGAAAATCAAATTTTCTTAAATCGAAAAAAAAAATTGTGTTTCGGGGTAGGAGAACAGTACCGCAATTGACATCCTAGGAGTTTTCTTTGAGGTGTTAAAATTGGCCAGAAAAACACCTGTTATTTCGTGAAATGTTCGGTACAACAAGCAATTGTCTTCTGCATGGATAATTAGTTAACTTGAATTTTCTCTGAATCGATTGACTTCTTCAATATTTTTGTCGGTGCAATCTGCGATACTGGAATAGCAAGCGCTTTTTTCATTTTTGTTTCGACTTACGAAGGGAAGTGAGGGAATTATGCCTTTGATTTTTGTGCCCCATTTTGACTACGTCAAAGGAAGCTCATAGATTGATTTTAAAGATCTTTCAGTCGTGAATTGAGGTTCAAACGAAATTTTAAAAACTGTCTGTTGAGAAAATTGGTCTGATTTTTCCCAATTTCAGACCAAAATTTGAAGACCATTACTTAAATTGAATACGTTGTTCAATTTAAGTATACGGCAATTTTTACGTTTTAGTAAGGATGAGTGTTTTTAATTCCGCATTTTTCTACTCAATTTAGCTGCTCTTGAATGATTTAATCAACCTCAGATTTAATTCATCTAATTCATCAGCTGACTTCAGTATAATTTCACTTTTTTTCGTTTTTGTATACTCTTGTTTTCCTATTTTTTTTGTATTATTTTAAACAGGTTTAGAAGCTTCATAAGCTTCGCTTGATGTGAAGAGAAGTTCCTCATCTAAATGTTTCGAACATATAGGACTCAAAAACAAATTTTGAGTTTTGAAGCTAAAAATCAATTTTTTTCAACTCGACGGGTGGTGTCTGCTCAATAATTTTCGTTATTGTACCACTTCGCAAGCTTTGCTTGGATGCTAATTGAATTTTAATTTGTCGCAATTTGTTATTTTTTTTTTAATTTGAGCTTTATTAAAGACAATGAAATGATGTTTTTTCGTTATTTTTTCAAAATAAATTTTTTCGACATAGCGTCTTTAGCCCCATTTTTTCTCGGGCATTTTGTCGTGCTTTGTGTGTATCGCGCGTAAATCGAAGCTCCTCGTCACTTCTGTGACTTTTTTTTTCATTTAAGTCATTGTTGCCGAAACATTCTTTGCTACCTGCGCAACAACCGGTTCTCCTTGTTAATTTTTAATATTCAGTTTAGTGATCCGTTTTGATTTTTGCATTCAGTTGTTAGGTCGCTTCAGTATTGCTTATAATCTGAAAGTTTCGGCTCTAATTCTTTCTTTGTTTCAGGTATCCAATCTGTATTCTTTAACATTGCTCTCTATAGATGGGGGCAAAATAAGTTTTTTTAAATGTTTTTCTTAGAATTTTTCTTAATAAAGAGGCTGTTGTTGGAATATTGTAGCCTATTTGTGGTAATTTAATCTTGGTGTGTTTGCTATTTCGGTGATCGGTGAGCCGCAAAGCTTAAGCAAATAAGGAAAACAAGAAAATGGTGTAATTTTTTCAGCTATTACTTCAACTCTATTTTTAGAGTTTCAGCATTGTGTTTGCGCATGGTCTCTAAATCTGAATAAAATATCTCTCTGTAGCTTTCAAACGAACCACTACTAAATGAGAAGCTAAGTTACATCAAATATTTACCTGTGGCCTTTTGTACAAAATAGACGAATAGTTTCAGCTGAACCGGCGGAGAAACGAGAAACTGCGCGCTTATAAAAACCGTGTGCGCATTTAATTCACCACTGTATTTAAATTGTGTTCCTCGCTTCACAAAATTTTTAAGCCTAATGTTAGTGGCGTTTTGTTCACGTATTTGGCATCAATATTTCTGTTTAACAAAAATAATTTGGTATAAATATTAGCAGAGAGCTTATATGTGTTTAGTTTGCTTACTCTGTTTGGCTTGGCATTCGTAAATTGTATAAAATAATAGTCTGTAACTTTTGTTTGGTTTTAAAAACAAATTATTTTTGCTTCTGTGTATTTGCGTCGAAATTCTCAGAGGTCAGACACATATATCAAAACAAACTTTACTGCACTTCATTTTTAAATGAAGAAATTCAAGAAAAAGAGTCTTTTCTGGAAGCAGTTGCAGACATTATTATGGAAGAACTTGACCTTGAAACGCCGTGGGTGGGGGTTTCTGATTCTGGAAGTTGTCTGGCCATTGGTTCTTTTTATGGTTATCGTCTCGGTTCGGCACGTAAGACCAGCTGTGAACAAAAGTGCATGTCACCTTCAGCCAAAAGCGTTACCCTCAGCGGGGCTTCTACCGTTTCTGGAATCCCTAATTTGCACCGTGGAGAACCGATGCTTCAAAACACCTCCGGAGTCTCTGGATGACAGTCCGCCCCTGGATGATCTAGTGAATTCCTTCTCGACACTCTTTTCAGACGAAAGATTTGTGGTTAGATGAAAGTTTTTGAAAAAAAGACAACTAATAGCTCGCTATATGGCATTTGAATCCCTTAATTGTTAGTACGAGAAACGTCCATTTTTCTACAAACTGCTAGTCGAATTTTATTTTCATTGATTTTCTAGGTGACGCACCCATATAAAAATGAATAAATTACAAAATTCTTTTCATTGTAAACACCTTGGTGTGCTTCAGAAATTGTAAGAGGATGGCACAAAATTGATAATTCTGAAGCAAGTGCCGCTAAGTAGATCATTTAAGGAACCAATTGACGTTAATAATTTTGTGATCCTACCGACAAATTTGTCCTAAAATAAAGTAAAATTGAAGTTGAAGTCCCACCCACCCATTTTTGCCCTTAAACCCGCCCCTGGAGAATACAACAAAGAACAATTGTCGCCTTTTCATAGGTTTTAAAATTTTAGGACAACGTACAATGGCTTATAGACGACGGGATTGAACCGCTCCTTCTCCCGGGAGGGTTCTTCAACGTCTCCGCTGTGGACGGACTCAGTCCCGAAACGCGAGATGCCTTAGAGGGCTCTCGTTTCGACCTCGGTGGTTTCCTGACAACTGAGACAGCTGTCAATCTAGCCGAGACTCTGGTTGATGCGGCTGCAGGTGATGAAACGTTTCTGTGCTACGACAATGGAAATGGCCAGTTCCCCACTTACATCAAACTTCCCAGGGATGCCAATCGAACTCAGGTATGATACTTTTCTTACTGCTTCGTGCATGTTTCTGTTTAACTTCCCAAAAATCCGCTCAAAAGTGGTTTTGAGGAACCGTCAGATACTTACGCGGGTTCTTCAATTTAATTATGTTTTAATTAAGGCACGGATCTAGGGGAGTTTGATTTTTTTTTTACTTTTTAGGTCGATCAAATTGGCTTAGCGATTTAAAAAACTTTATAAATAGCAGTTTTTGCACAAGCAAATTTTTGCAAAATGGTATAAAGTACCGTTTTTGACACTTGTGGAAGATTTTGACCAAAAAATCTAGTTTTTTTTTGGCGCGCGCGCTCTCAGCTCATATATATTGGCGCCAAATGCACCTTTAGAAAACTTTGAACCGAAAAGGAATAGTATCAACGGATAGTATTTGCGTGAAGTAGTACCAAAGGGGACCCTTTGAGTTGTCAGCGGGTCGAAAAGCCCTACCCCCTAAACCCGCTATTGTTTTACGACATTTTATTGCGGATGTATTCGAAAAATTCAAACACATTTTGTTATCAAGGACAATTTATGCAAATGTCGACTAATTTATCGACAAAATTAGCTCATCGGAATTTTCTAGGTGGAGGCTGAAGTTTGTGCCCTGAATGACGACCAACTTGGAAATCTTCTGAGTCCAGTGACCGCTGTACTGGAGAACATAACTCAGGATGAAAAATTTGCTGAAAGGTTGTTGGATATCTACTATGCAGTGGACGACTCAAAAATCCTGCAGTCTCTGGACGAAACGAACGAGTTCTTCTTGGAGTTGCTGTCATTGGGTGATCTCACTTCAGGCGGCGATGAGACTAACACTGCACTGAACAAGTACTTGTGTAAGTCAGTCTGAATTAGTCACATAATTGAGTTTTTTTCGGATTAGAATTTTTGTGCAATTTTTCTTAACTTATGTGAGAGTTCATAACGTGCCCTCCTTTTGTTAATTGCGCTACTCGAATTAATTGAGCAATCTGCAATAGCAACTTCAGCTTTTTAAAACTCAATTGCTTAGCTGATAATCTATTCCAGGTGACCCGCAGTGACAAAAATGGATAAAAATCGATTATCTATAGAAAATATGCAGATTTCAGATATGTTGAATTTTTATTTAGTAAAACTTCGATTATGTAGTTTTAATAATCGATTATAATGGATTTTGTTTTGCAAAAGTTTTATACTGTATATATTAATTATATGATCATTGCCAAAACAGTCTAAAACTTTTTTTTTTCTGTACCAAACTTTATACATACAATAAACAGATTATCTACAGAATATAAGCTGGTTATATACAGATTTTATACAGACTATATACATATTATATACAGATTATATACTGATTTTCTCAACATTCTCGCCAATCAGATAGAATAAGTATATTGAAATAAAATTATAATGTAGGCTTTTTTTTGAAATTTTTGTACTGATGTTTGATCTGAAAAAAAATTTAATTCCTTATTGTGTAAATAAGTTGCAGCAAAAAATAATTTGCTCTGCATTAATTTTTCTAATTTTTTATTGAAGTTTTTAACACAAAATTGCGCTGAACAGGTTGATAATTTAAATGGTATTTGAAGAATTTTTGCACAAAAATACTTTTCTTTCCGCGGAAACTCCTAGATTGCAAAATCTTCGTGGGATCTCTTGAAATTTGTAGTTTGTCGTAACCAATTTTCCTCAAGTGAGTTCAAACCAATACAAAACTGAGGAAAATTCTTCCTGGTTGCAAAATTTTTGAAAAAAAATCATTCATTTAAATTTTGAATGGTCAAAATTGAATTTTTACTACCCCTTTAGCTTTTAGGCAGCATAATCAATTTGATACAGATTTTATACAGATTATCTACAGATTGTCTACATATTATGTAGAGATTTATTGTATAAAGGTTATATACTGACTATATGCAGATTTTATTAGATTATCGACAGGTTTTACACAATAGAAAAGTTGATTATTTTGGCAACAAAATCCATTTATTTTTGGTGGAAAAAAATGGATTCTATCTGTACAGAAAAGATTATCGTTCACAAAATGCTCGTAGATGAATTGATTCTATACTTACGTTAATCTGTTGATTTTTTTTATATAATAGATTTTTATCCATTTCTGTCACTGCGGGGATCTCCATAGATCTACCAATGCTTCAGACATCTTCGTGTGAATTATAAAACATGGCATAAATTTCATTTTCCCGGTTACTTCAATTTTTTTAATACTAAATGCATTTCATAAGGGAAGTTCCCGTGGAAATGTGAGTGAGTGAAAAATGACTGGAAATCAATTAACATCAAACCTAAGATCATTTAACATCAAACTGTTCACATATCAACAAAATCAGCGGTTGTGCAGTGAAATTCCAATAAGAAGACCTTTAGATGGACAAGTGTTCGAATCCAGACTTCTGGTAAATCCGACTTAGAACATTGTATGTCGGAAACTATTTTGAAACTAAATATTACACAAGCGTAGCGTATTATGAAAATGTATGGGATTTGGTTTTAAATTATAATTTTTTTTTTCGATTTTTTATCTATTTTTTTCAGTGGGGAAATTTTAAACCACTTTTTGGGATATTTTCATTTTCTAACAAGGATAGCCGGTTACTGTGCAAGTAGCACAGAATGTTCCGACCAGTCTTCAAAAAAATGTTTTCTCAAATTGGTGTCGTTTTTTTTTCTGCATGCTGTGATAAAAAAAATCTGAACGAATTAATAGAGCTTAGGCTTATTTGAGTCATAGTAAAATAGGTCAATTGCAAACAGTTTTTGAAGAAGAGTGACTAGAAAAACGAAAAAAAAAGTTATAAAATAATTTCACAAATTTTTTGCGGAAATTTTTTGAATTTTCAAGTTTTTGATTCCCAAAATTGCGCTAAAAAACTCCAAAAACTACCTTTGCTTGAGTAAAACTAATCTTTTACGGCTTAAATTAAGCTTAATTAAGCTATTGCAATTACCAACTACCTTACTAACTAGCTCGAAGTTAGACCAAAATTCAAAAATTTCAAACCGGTTTTTCTCGACACTGAAAACTTTTTTGAAATTTTTAAATATCGTTTGAATTACGACTGAAAGGGCTTTAATGTGATATATCACTCAGCCCTGTCTGATGATTGTTTGTGGTAGCTGATTTTGCGTGGAAAACAAGGAACAGTTCTTAAAATTTGTGCACGTTTTGTGGAAAATTTTTGAAAACTTTCTTAAAAATTACCCTTCCAAATCTGAGATTACGGATTCAAGTCCGAAAAACATGTATCATGGGTTTTCTGTCCCTAGGTAGTTATGCCCTAAGTTTCTTTAAGAGTTTGTTTTGGACTGAGAAAAATTGTTTTCGGGAGATTTTGTTCAATTTTCGTTGTCGAAAACTTCCCTACCAAATCTGAGATAAAATGTTCAATCGATAAAACAGATGTTAGGAGTTTTCTCTGCATAGCGACTTAGTTTTTGTAGTAAAGCAATGAAACAATCCATGTTTTTAAATGTTGAACGTTTCGGAAAATTTTTTTGACTTTACTCGATAGTTTACTACCAAATCTAGAATAATTTACTGCTAAATCTAGCAAAAGTCCATTTTTTGAAGTTTTGTTCATCTTTGGAAATAATTTGCTTTTTTGAAAACTAGCCCTGCCAAATTTGAGATTAAGGGTTTAGTCGAGATAACAACTTGGAGGGCTATCCCCTACAAAAAAAATTTGCTCCAACAATTTGTTAAGGAAATCGGATTTAGGAACTATTCGACCGTTTGACCCATTTTTGCTTTTTGCTCAATTTCCCAAAACGACCGTGCCAATTCTGAAATAGAGAACTTAACCAATTGAGTTGTTTTATTTTTTCTTGGAAAATCGTGTTTACCCGTTCTTCTGGTAGAAATCAATTATTTACTTGGTAACAGTCCATGTTTTGACATTTTGACACATTTTGAAAAATACGCATTTGCTTTCGCATCAGAAAGTTTCTAAAATAAAATCAAAAGGTACATCCAGCTTCAGGGGGTTCGAGTTCGGTATATAGCACAATTGAAAAACTTACACTTTTTCTTTTCTTTTTTCACTTTTGATCCATTTAGGGCTACTTTTGGCCCTTTTTTTCGCTTGTGTTTGCGAAGTGCATCTTCGCCTCTGTGCACTAAATTTGTTCCATTGTGGTGCCTAATGCTGTTCCACGCTCTCTACAAACTATTTTAATTAGCTATTATTGCGAGGAAAAATTACAGACAGGCCGGCCCATAGTTTCTTACATCTCCAAAAAGATACAGCGCCAAAATGAGTCATTTAGTTTGATGGTTTAAATGTAAAGAAACATGTTGTTTTGGCATGAAATCAAAACTTACAGTTTACTGTACACTAGCTTGTATTATCTCGGAGACATGAATTTGAACTACTGTTTCAGCTCAATTTGTGTGTGGACTAGATTCAGTTCTTGCTCTGGAGGTCGACGGAGTTGGTTCTGCCGATGAAGTGGAACAGCAAGCCGAGGAATTAGGTCTGGAACTTGAACCAAAAGAGTTCGAGCGCGACGACGAAATTTCCGATCACTGCAATGATGTCTTTGAACAGTTTCAAGCCAATATTGTCCTTAGCAATATTTGGAATTATGTCAAACCTATAATTATTGGAGAACTTCTGTTCACGCCAAAAACTCCAGCTGCCATTCGAATTATTAAACAAGTTAACAAAACGTTCGAGGAAGTGGCAAACGTCTTCGAAGCCTTGGACATGATTAACGACACTCGCGACGAGTTTTTTCAACAGCTGTACGACTACTTTGAGGATCCGAATGCAAACGATATACCTCTGCTCACTTTTATTGTAGACTTGGCTCCTACTTTTTTTGATTTTGCTGAGCTAAACGAGACTGCAGACCAATTTTTCTCGAACGACCCCAATGTAACCACCTGGCAGGATTTTTTCAACACAACACTAGATCTGATAAATTACTTTGACGATCTGGCTTCGTGTTTTTCAACAGACAGATTCATCGGATTTGACTCTGAGCAGGAACTCGAAGAGCATGCTGCAGTGAGGCTGGATTCCAACAAAATCTGGGCGGGGTTTGTGTTCCAAAACACAGACGATCCAGTTTCAGATGAAATTCCGAAGCTACTGAAGTACAAAATCAGGATGAGAGATGGACGAGTTGACGACACTGATATTCTTATTGACGATGTTTGGTTCCCGAACCCTCGAAGAAACCCAGTGATGGATATCAAGCCAATCACTTCGGGTCAAATATACCTGACCGACCTTCTCGAGAAAGCAATCATTGACCTTCAGGCTTCGCCGTCATACAAGAAGACAGGAACATGGGTTAAACAGTTTCCCAGTCCCTGTTATAAACAAGATGAGTTCTTGTATGCTATCTCGGGAACTATTCCTCTGTTCATGACGCTTGCTTGGCTGTTCAGTGTAGGCATGATTGTAAAAGGCATCGTCTACGAAAAAGAAACGAGGCTTAAGGAAGTGATGAAAGTTATGGGGCTGGGTAATACAATCCACTGGGTATCTTGGTTCATAACTTCATTCATCATCCTTTTCGTCGCCGGTATTGTTCTGTCATTTATTCTCAAGTTTGGAGACGTTTTGGCCAAAAGCAATATTTTTGTCATCATATTTCTATTCTTTTCCTACGTCATTCCAACTATCACGTTCTGCTTTTTAATTTCTGTTTTCTTCTCGAAAGCCAATCTCGCCTCAGCAGTAGCAGGAATAGTCTTTTTTGTCCTGTATCTTCCGTATGTTCTTTACCTCGCATGGGACGAACAAATTGACTCAAATGGTCCGAAATACCTCTTATGTCTTTCCTCTAACGTTGCGTTTGGTTTCGCTTGCACTTACTTTGCCTTCTTCGAACAACAGGGTACCGGGGTGCAATGGAGCAACTTAGGCGACAGTCCTGTTTATGATGATGATTTCAGCATGGGAAAAGTCATTTTCATGATGTACGTCGATGCTGTGATCTATCTACTTCTGGCTTTGTACATAGAACAAGTTAACCCTGGAGCATATGGTGTGCCAAAGAAATGGTATTTTTGCTTCCAGAAGTCTTTCTGGTGCGGCAGTGAAGGTCCTCAAAAGGGATCCAACAATATTTCTTTCGATCCGAGTTTCAAGTTGACCGGTGAGAATCTGGAAACGGAAACGGAAGGCGCCGAAGTAGGAGTTCAGATCCGAGACTTAGTGAAGATATACTCGACTGGAAACAAAGTAGCAGTCAATGGTCTGTCGCTTAACTTCTACAAGAATCAGATCACTTCCTTCTTAGGACACAACGGTGCTGGCAAGACGACAACTTTGTCGATTTTAACTGGACTGTTTCCTTCTACATCTGGAACTGCGTTTGTAAACGGTCTCGATGTCAGTGAAAGCATGGACACTATAAGACAAAGTGTAGGCATGTGTCCTCAATACAACGTGCTGTTTGGAAAGTTGACTGTGATGGAGCATCTCAAATTCTACGGCAGTCTGAGAGGCAAGAGTTCCTCAAGCATCAGCAAAATGGCGGTCAGACTTCTAGGTGACTTAAATCTACCTCACAAAGCAGACGAAATGTCCAAGAACCTATCAGGCGGCATGAAGAGAAAATTATCTGTGGCTATTTCGTTCATCGGGGATAATAAAACTGTCATTTTGGACGAGCCGACAGCAGGTGTTGATCCCCACAGTCGAAGAGGGATCTGGGAGCTCCTCTCCAAGTACAAAGAAGGCAGAACTGTAATTCTCTCCACGCACCATATGGACGAGGCTGATGTTCTGGGAGACCGAATCGCAATCATCGCAAACGGAAAGTTGCAATGTTGCGGTACCTCGATGTATTTGCGGAAACAGTTTGGAAAAGGATATCAGTTGACCATGGCGAGAGATTTAAAAGCAGATACCAAAGAGGAATTCGACAGACAACGTGAGTACTATGACCCATCTATTGATGGACCTTACGAGGAAAAACACGCAGTCCAGAACTCTCAATTCGATCGTGACACTGAAAAGAACATCACTAAGTTCGTTCGCAGCATCTTCCCCGATGTCAACCTTGCCAAAAATATTGGAACTGAATTGACGTATACGTTGCCGTATTCTGGTCTGGGGTCTGGAATATACTCCAAACTTTTCAGAGAGCTTGAAAAGAACAAAAAGAGCTTGGGAATATCTGAATACGGATTGTCAGATTCATCGCTTGAGGATATCTTCATAGAAGTCGCTGATCAGGCTCCGGATTCAACTGCAAACGATGACAGATTCCCAAAACGCAGGGGAAGATTTAGGTCACTGAAAATTTTTGCCGACTTGAAAAAACGTAAAGTGCGTACTGAACAAATTGAAATAGCTGCTAATGGAAACACTAATGGAAGTGTCCATTTCGACAACTCGGGAAAAGATTCCGACACTGAATCAGAAATGAGCGGATCCTCGTCTTATAGTGGGAATAATCAAGTTGTCCTCCATATTCGAGACTCGAACAGACATGCTGCTAAAGCATTCGCTGATGAGAACGTTCCAAAAGTGAAAGGCGCCCGACTGTTTTGGCTCCAATTTCAGGCTCTCTACATAAAAAGATTTCATCATCTTCGAAAGGACCGAAAAGCGTTCCTTTCGCAGATTCTTTTGCCAGCTTTGTTTGTTCTCTTGGCCATGATTTTCACTCTAATTGTTCCGGACGACTCGAATCAAAAACCACTGGTACTCAATCCATATATCTATGGCGATAACAAGTATATATTCTATTCTGATTCATCAACTCAAGGTGAAAAAGAAGCAATGAGAAGTTTGGTTCAAGATATGGTAAAATTCCCACATCACAGTACGAGATGTATCGATGGATACTCGATCAAAGGTCATTCGTGTCAGATAAGTGCTAGCCCAGGATCCTTCATAGATACCGGCTACAGAACCAATCGGCCGTCTGATTGTGACTGTTCTACGGGTTACCAACAGTGCGACGCCAATGCTGCAGGTGGGACCCCGAAATATAAGAAACTAGACACGACTGAAATACTTCAAAACTTGACCGGTTGGGATTTATCAGACTACATAATGAAGACTAGGATTGACATGCGGTTGCGAAGATTCTACGGTTTTGAATTTGAGGGTGAGAATAATGACTACGATTTGAACGAAAACGACTTCGTTCTAGCAGCGCAAGACGCTGAAGATTTGGTCCAGGACAACGACCTCCTTGCCTACAATTATTCGAACGGTTTCCAATGGCAAGAAGTTATCGATGATCTTAACACCGTTTTGAATGATTCGATTGCTGTGCGTAATGTCAAAGTGTGGTGGAATAACAAAGCTCACCATATGTTGTTGAGTTCTACAAACGCGTTAAACAACTTGATTCTCAGAAACTCACTTTGGGACAATGCTAGCATAAACCCCGATGAGTATGGAATCATTAGTACTTCCCATCCATTCAAAATGACCGTGAGTCAACTTTCGGATGACCTGTTGAACCGCAGTGGTCGGGATCTCATCGTCGGTATTTGTGTCATTTTCGCTATGAGTTTCGTGCCCGCTAGTTTTGTTCTTTATCTCATTTCGGAACGGACCTCGAAAGCCAAACATTTGCAATACGTAAGCGGTGTGCACCCTTCTATCTTCTGGACAGGGACTTTTATTTGGGACATGACAAACTACCTAATTCCGGCTTTGATTTGTATCATAATTTTCCTTTGCTTCCAAGCTGAATCTTACGTCAGCGGAGCCAACTTCCCTTGCCTGTGTCTTCTTCTTTTCCTGTACGGCTTCTCGGTGATACCTTTGATGTACCCGTTCAGTTATCTGTTCAGCATTCCAAGCACAGCTTACGTGCTATTGACCGGAATCAACGCCTTCATAGGCATAAACTGTACAACTGCAACTTACATCTTGGACTTTTTCCCAGATGACCAAGGTCTTACAAACGTGAACAGTTTCCTCAAGAAGGTTTTCCTCATTTTCCCCCAGTACTGTCTAGGTAGGGGTCTCTTCGAAATGGCTTTGAACCAACTGACCGCGGATGCCTTGAGCGAGTTTGGCGAATACGAGTTCCAAAATCCGTTGACGTACGACATAGCAGGCAAACATGTGTTCGCGATGTTCATGCAAGGTATCTGCTTCTATATCCTAGTTCTTGCAATCGAGCATATTTATGTGTTCAGACGGATGTTCCTAAAGCCAAAATCATCGCAATCTATGTTTGAAGACGATTGGGAACCTGAAAACATTGAAGAAGATGTAAAACATGAAGAGGACAGCGTTAAAAGCGGTGCGCATGATAGCGATCCCGTGATTGTCAAAAATTTGAGGAAAGAATACAAGAAAGGAATTGTAGGCTCTGACAATCTTGTTGCTGTAAAGAATCTATCTTTTCACGTTCCAAAAGGAGAATGCTTCGGACTTCTGGGTGTCAATGGAGCTGGAAAAACATCGACTTTTAACATGCTCACAGGTGATGTTGTTCCGACATCTGGGAAAGCTGCTCTGACTGGCTTCGATGTTGTAACTCAACTGAACGACTCGCGGAAACGTCTCGGATTTTGTCCTCAATTTGACGCCTTGGACAATCTTCTGTCGGTGCGTGAACATCTCATGCTTTATGCACGACTGAGAGGAATTGAGCCCAAAAGTGTGAGCAATGTTGCGGAAGGTGTGATTGAGAAGATGGGGCTGAGAAAATATGTGGACAAACAGGCGGGTACTTTGAGTGGAGGCAACAAGAGGAAGCTCTCAACTGCGATTGCCTTGGTGGGCAATCCTCAGATCATTTTCCTAGATGAACCTACTTCGGGAATGGACCCGAAAGCACGCAGGTAAATTAGTAGCATAATCGTCAGTCATATACCAAAATTAATACCAAGATCGAAAGTTTTTTCGAAAAAAATGAATTCATTTTTGTTCGCAGCTTTTAATCAAGGAAACTTCAATTTTAACCCAGGCCTCTCAATACTCACTCTATATCTTGCTTGAGGCTGGAACAAAAATTACATCGATTAAAACTGACAAAAATGCGAATGAGTCTTAATCATGGTGTCGTTGCAAACAGCGGTAATTTGTAAACAGCTGATCATCTCGTATGTTTTTCATGGTCGTCGTTAATATATGGTCTTATCATTAAGCCTTCATAATCCAGGTACCTGTGGCAATGCATCCACGACGCAGTGCAAGAAGGCAGATCTGTTGTGCTGACATCCCACTCCATGGAAGAATGTGAGGCCCTGTGCACCCGTCTGGCCATAATGGTCAATGGACAGTTCAAGTGTCTGGGATCCACTCAGCACATCAAGACCAAATATGGAGACGGATATGTTGTGCATGTCAAGATGCAAGTGGGGCTGAGCGACTACATACACAACTACTTCATGGACTTGTATCCCAACGCACAGGTGAAATGACTACGTCTTGAACTTACACTTAAAAAGTATTTGAACCTAAATTTGTACGTATTTTCAGTAAAATTGTCATCATTAAAATTTTGTCATAAACGCATTTTAGATGTAATTTGTGAAACATACACAGAAATGAGACATAAATTAAGACGAAATTTTTCTCCAATCAAGGAAATTGTTTTTCCAAAACAAGGTGGAACGAACCAAATCGCACTACACACACAAAAAGTTAAGATATAATAACGTAAGTTAAATTTTACCTCAAGATGACCTTGAGTTTACTTTGTGTTAATCGCTCGTAAAAATGTTACTGTTTCAAGCAGCTTCAGTAAAAAGCTTCAAATCTTTTGTGGTCTCACAGAAAATCGTACCATTAATCAATATTGCCCTTCCATCTTCCGAGCAGCTTCTGTCAATTCTACAACTTCGTTCACGTTGCGATTTTGTTTTTAATGAAAGAGTACTAATGATAGATTCAATATTGTTTTCTCTGGCAAGATCTGGACTCCTTTGTAAAGAAAGAAAGAACTTCTTTGTCGTCATCCAATTATAGTTTTTCGGAAATGTCAGAATGTTTTTGGGGGAGATTAGATAAACCGGTGTACTAAGTGTATTTTTCGATAATTATAAAATATAATAGTGTTTTTCAGGTTCTGAACTGTTTGTCCTCATTGAGTAAAAACATTTTTTGGAGCTTTTTGACTGGAGTGTAACTTGAGGTTGTGCACCAATCTTACATGAGCCTGTTGATTGCGGTTAATGTTCGTGTCATTTAAAAAACTTTAAATTATTCCGTTTTTTTTTCAAGTTCTGGGCTTTTTGTCACCGTCACTTATGCTGATTGAGAGAGACATCATTGTAGATAGGTTTTAGATGACGGGTAGCTTTGGTTTATGATTTAAAATGATTATTTACTGAGTATTTCATTTAAATTGAGTCTTTTATGATTTAAAATGACTATTTCGTGTGTATTTGTAGGTTCTGGACTCCCTGTCGTCGCTGATGGTGTTCCAGGTACCCCAGCAGGATGCCACTCTGTCGGCCATGTTCGAGGCCCTGGAAAGGGGCAAGGGGGTCCAAGTGGAGGACTCAGATGGCAAGAAAGTGGGGCTAATCGAAGACTACTCCATCAGTCAAACCACACTCGATCAGGTCTTGTTCTGGCTAGAGTTAAAAGCGAATAAAATATATTAAGTTCGCCATCTTGATATATTTAAGATGATACGCTATTGTTATTATCAATCTGAGTCGAACGAATAGCTTAGAAACAGGTCTTTTAGATATTGCTTAATACAAATTTATTGTGTTTTTAGGATTGAATCACTAAGAAAAAACAGCGCACAATCTGTTCAACTCCTTGTTCGTAATAGTTTCTGTGCCTTTGATTAAAACCTGTAAATGCAGTTTTTGGTTCTCATTACACCCGTTTTAAAAATCAGTTGGTTATCTTGCTGAAATTTTATTTTCTAAGGTCTTCATCAATTTCGCCAGTGAACAGAATGACGATATGTTGCCCGTGAAATCCAAAGCGAACAAACAACCCAAACGCAAATTCAAACCCCTCACACTGCGAACACAAAACGGACAAGGTCATCCCAGGTCAAACCAGATGGCAGCAGGAGGAAGTTCATTTCCTAAGTTTTCATCGATTGGTAAAACGGAGGTGGACGAGGATGGTCTTCTGGATAATATGTCGATTAGTTCGGGTTATAGTAACAATACCAGTGCTGCCAGTCTAGCACACGTGAGCTCCTTGTGCTAACTTGATTTTATGTTCCTACCATTGAAAGTGAGAGATATTTTTGTTATAGGGCGTGTTTTAGTGTTTATTCCGATCTTTGAAAAAGAGAGGAACTTTGTGTTCGGGTGTTTTAGTTTTTTGGTTTCCACTCAAAATCAGGTACCACAAATAATCATCGGAATGAGTCGAGTGATGTATCATATTAAAGTCCTTTTATTCAACGCATTCCGATGATTTTTTGTGTTACCTGATTTTGCGTGGAAAACTGGTTTGAAACTTTTAAGTCAAGTGTAAAATCGAGCGTGTAGAGCGATAAAGTTACGTTCGTTATTTGAAAATTAGGCTGGGAAAACTTAATTTTACTAGAAAGAAAACTCGTTTTGGAAGCTCCATTTAGCGGTTCCTTGGCAATAATTTTTTTTTTCAAATGTAAATATTTAGTGCAAAAATATTTTAAAAAGTCACAGTCGTTGCTGCAGTCTAAAGCCGGAAATGGAGACCAAAATTCTTGTCCATTAGGTCATGGTGAGACCAGGAAGCGCCGCATCAACCCACACAAACGTAAGTGAGCCAACTCCTCTTGACGACGAGGTGCCTAGACAGGACTCGCTAGTTTCCTTCACCCCCCGTGAACGTGTTTCAAATCTGGACCAGTGGGGAGCTGGAGGGGCAGGGGGGTCTCTATTTTTTAACAATGATGCTTTCCAGAATGAGGAGGACACGCCAATAAGTGTCAAAAAGGGATCTGGAGTGATGGATTCTAATAAAGTGTAAGCTACCTTTTAATCCAGTGTTTTTCAGAGATTGCAGTCAACTTTTATCGGCATCAAAAAAAAAACAAAGTGAAAACATTTTTGCCATAAATTTTTGACGAAGTTCAAAAAATCATTCCTTATTTTTTCTTTGTATATGTGAGTGCAATTTGATGAATGGTTATGATACTTGATTGGAATGCAACATTGGAATCGTTGGCATTAATTTGATAAATTTTTTCTAGTTCTCCCTTTTTGTTTTTGCTTAAGTAGTGCAGTACAGTTTTAAATTATCCGGACAAATGAACAAAATTTGAAACTTTAAACGTATATTTTTCCTTAAAGTGGGCTGAGATTAAACAAAAGTTTGAAAGATTAAAAGTAGCTCAATTTTTTTTGCGAAAATCGGAAACAAAAACTTACCCCAAAAATGGGTTAGTTTGGATTTTTTGCCCAATCAAGAAATATGCTACAACTTCCAGGCCGATTGATGAGCAAATTTTTCAAAGTGTGCGTCTTACACAGTCCAACAAATATCTAGGAGTGTGTAATCACCAAAATTTGGTCAAAAGTTTAAAATTTGTTTTTAATGAAAGAAATTGAATTTTATATCGTAAAATGACAATTTTTGGAGATACACTTGTCTAAAAAATGTTGGCCGTTGTAAGGAGCTCTCTTTAATTACACAAGCGGCAAAGCTTGTATTATAGTATGAATTATCTTTTCCCAAACTAAGTCGCAAATATTGTTGCGACAAAATGTGTTCATTTTGAAAGTGTTCATTTTGATCAATAACCAGCTATTAAGTACAGCCAATGCTAATGCTAGTAACACAGACTACTATATTAAAAATAGCACTTTAGCTTCAAGTTATCATGGGTCTGTAGCGTTGAGGTAGGTAAGGAGACCCTCAACAAATTAAGAGGTTCGAACCTGGGAAGGGTCGGATGTTTTCAATGAACTTTTTTGTATACTAGTTAAAATGCGTCCGCTCTATAAATTGCGGCATGTTATTTGGTTTTTTTTTTCAAATTGACTGGTATTCTTAATGCGTCTTAATTGGCTTGCATCACTTAGCAATTATGTAGACTCATAATTGGCGTGCGTCACTTAAGCAATTTTGTAGACTCAAAGTTTTAATTGTTCAGTATTTCCCAGTAGCGTTATCGATCATTACTTCGCCTCTGTGTAAAATTTGTCCATCATTTGACCTAGAAGTTGTAGCGTGACTTTTCATTGACTAAATTAAGCCAAAATGGTTCATTTTTACAATTTTTACCAAATTAAATGTATTTTAATTCTTCTGGTTGAATTTCAATTTTTAATCAGCATTGTCATGCTTGAATGCTATTCAAAATTACCTGAATTGTTTTATATTGAACTGAAACATAACAGCGTAAACAAACATTAGCTAATTTAGTGATGATTTGAGCTATTGGCTATCCAGAAGGACCATTTTGGTAATACTTTGACGAAATTTAATTTAAGTTTTCTGAAAGCGCTTTGAGACTACAACTTTTTCTGAAAGCGCTTTGAGCGCCTATACAAAATTTTACGGGATCGCGCGCCGAAAAAAGGCATTAAAAACTTCTCGAAAGCGACATTTTAGCCAGTTTCTCCATAATTTTACTGCGATGCAGAAACTTGTGGCTAAATAGGCTCAAAATTGTGTTTAAGAAAGTTCAAAAAACTAGTTCGGTCATTTTAAAAATCCGCCCCTTGAGAAAATACCAGATCCGGGAACAGATTTGATCAGCTTTTTTTGCATGATTTTTTTTCGAAAGTAATTGAGCTTGTAAGCGAAATGTTAGTACAATGAAAACGACGACGTTCAATTTTGACATAATTAAATTTATATAGTTTGTAGTTTGAGCTGTAGAGGTAGTTTGGAAACATAGTTTAAAGTGAGAAGACAACTGTTTTTGCATGTATAAAAATTAACAAGGACACGTAAATTTTTCGTTGAATAAAGCATTTTCGCAACTGTTTTTTCACGCACTCGGGAAATTATTTCACTATCCTCGGGCCTGGCGGGCCTCTGATAGTAAATTAATTCCCTTGTGCTTGAAAAAAAAACAGTTGTGAAATTAGTACTGAGTTTGCCGAAAAACCCGCTAACTTTATATAGTAAGTTTTTTGCTGGTTAGAAGAAATTTTGTCGATATACGCAAGCCTGTTTTTTTTTTCAATTTTGGTAATAAGCCTTTTTTTTTCAATTTTGGTAATATATGAGATTATTGCAAAGTTCTTCACTTAAATTTCGTTTAATCGACTCTTCGCTATTTTTTGTAAATCGTTTTGCGTATTCGGCTGTATATCTCTCAGATTGTTTCACAGCATTCTCGGTGGTAAGGTTTTTGCCTGGTATGGCAAAGTTTCTGAGTTCAAATTCGGTAGTCGCCACAGCGCGTGTTTTTCTTGTGATTTAAATTTTTTTGTTTTTAAAACTGTAATTTTGGTTTAATCCTATTATTTTTATTTTCATTTACCTTGGTTCTGTATAGTTTTCTGTTATTTTTAATCGCTTGCTTGCAAAAATACTAGTGGTTCATATGGTTTTGGCCAATAGGAAAGCGGCTTAGTCATCTACTATAATATTTCGATGTTTTAAAAATTTTTATATTTTTTTCTTTTGTCTTTTAGAAATTTGTTGCTCAAAGTATTTTATGGCAACAGTTTTTTTGGTTCTATTTTTATTTTTTGGTTCAGTTTTTATTTGAGTCTACCCAAAAAGTGGAGCCCAATGGGGGACAGTTGTCGTAAAAGTTCCGAGTTTCGAATCTTTTAGCTCTTTAACTTTTTATGGCAACAGTTTTGTTATCGGCTCAACTGGTGTCTACCCAAGCATTATCTTCTTAGTTGCCGCTAGTTTTTCTGAATGCTATTTTGACGCTGACTATTGCGTTGCAGTATTTGTATTTTCATCTGATTGAACAGCTGTTAAGACAAAACTATGACGTATTTTAGTCGATGTTTCAACGTTTTTTGTTCAGTTTTCATTATCTACTGAATGGCTGCTGTCTATTTTTTTGTCCGCTTGCTTCAATGCTTTGTTTCTATTATATCGGAGGTGGTGCGAAGATCCGTTTTGCCTCTGTTAACCAGATTCTTGGAAACAAATATCCTTTTTTGATAAAATTTCATATTAATATCATTGAATACTTTTTCACTAGTAGTAAAGTTACGCTTCGTTTTCTGTGCTAGTAAAATTTGCACAGAATAAATTTAAAGTAAAAACTTGCCTGGCTGAGTTTGTATTGCTCATGGCGTTTCATTTTGACGCAGTTTGTGACGCAAGTTGACTTACATTTTAAGTTGACGCAAGTTGACTTAAATTTTAAGTTGACTAAAGTTGACTAAATTTTGTTATTGAAGCGGAGTTCAAATTAAACCATTCAAAACTGAACGTCGTTGAGGCAGTTGAAAAAATTATTTTTGTCTAATTAAGAATAATTTGGTTTTTAAGATAAACAAAAGCACAATGGAGCTATTCGCTCAATTTGGTTGTAAATACAGGCTGCACTCCCAAAATGATAAATCAGTCCCATTTGTACCAAAATTAAAAAAATCAATCGCGTTAGTACCAAAAATACTCTATTGGCCTAAGACTATTAAGCCGACTACTTTAAGCTCTTGGTTTAAGGTCGCCGGTGGGCGCGCTTCGCGGCGATAACCGGCTCTAGTTTTTGTATAGAGACCTACTCTCTGTTGGCAAGCTCGCAACACGTTGGCGCGATTGCGGCGGTCACTATTCTGTTGTTTAGTTTTCTTCTGTTTGAACAGTAGAAAATTAATGTATTAATTTGTTGGCTCACAATCCAATCAATCAGAAATCGAGTTGAATAATTTTGGTACAAAGGGACCGATTTTTCATTTTGGTACAAATGAGCGTTGGTATAAATGAGACTTCACCGAAATAAGACATAGTTTTATGGTGTAACGAGGGATTTCACAAAGTTAAATATGAAGACCAAATATGTTTTTCAGGGCCTAATTATTCCGCATGCCAATAATTAGATTGGAAAAAACGGTCGTGATTGGAAAAAACGGTAAAATCCTAACGACAGGATTTTACAGCGTTTTTTAGTGTCTTCTAACTTAGCTTAGATCTAGTGACCGCAATTATCAGCGAATAGCGTAGAGGATGTCAAACAGCCTACGAACAAAATACTGCAATTCGAAACTAGCTCGAGAAGATTTCCGTTGCTTAACATCAGAACACTGACAAATTGATTCCATTTTTTGAGATATTAGCGGACCAAGTTAAAATCTTTAACTTGGTCCGCTATATCGTGAGCTAGTTTCGAATTGGGAGGATGTTAATTTGATCCGATGTAGCAAAAGGTGGTGTCTCTCATGATGTAGTGACCGAATGTTGGAATTTTTCTTAATCATTTTCAGTCAATGAGCGATGACCGATTAGTAAATAAGCAGATACATGAAAATTCAAATAATGTAAGATCGAAGTCGGGTATTGGAAAAAACATGGACCGATTTTGAAAAATTTAAAAAAAATACCAAAAATTTTATTGTATATTTGCAAGAATTGCACAGCAAAACTTTGCTGTGCTGATATAATGAATTTTCTGTTAATAAAAACTTCAGTTTTGAGCGAAAGTCATTTAGCCAATACGAACGTCTAGCGATTCCAATTGGTTGAAATTTTTCCATCACTCGGTTCATTCATCATGAGAATAACCCCATAACGAAACTTTTTATCTGTTCATTCTCAGTACATCGTGCAGTGGTAAAGTCTCACTGCTTGTAGACTTTGCTTCAATAACGAGCTGTCCACATAACTATGCAGTTTTGGAGAATTTAGTAATTTCACACAAAAGTAATTAGCAAACTCAAAAGTATGCTTGAAATTTTCAGGCTCGGTTCATCAATTATCAGTCTCCTTTATAAACAGCTTGTTTATTAGATGTGAAAAATGCCATTGCGCAATTTTATGAGACTGAAGTTAATCTCTTTTAAATGCTTTGCCTCTCTTACTGCTTTTTAAACCTAGCCGCGAACCTATTACTTTTCATTGAGTTATTTTAAAAGTTCAGTTTTTTTCACTGCAATTCAAAAAAAGGCCGCTAGTTACGTTTTTTTCTTAGTGAAGATTTTTTCAATGTTTTTTTTCCTATAGAAGAATAAATGTGTTTTTGAAGTCAAGGTAATTGCCTGTAACTTCAAACCTCAGAAGATAATCGTCTGAAGCTTCAATATACTTCTTTGTGGTATTGTTTTATTACTTCAATTTTAATCATAAAGACTACGGTGACGTGAAAAAAAACTGAGTTGATAGACGTGCATGTGAGTTCTAGTTTTGCTCAAACGCACGTCAGTTTTTTTCTGCTTGGCTTGAGATTTTGGCGTCGATAATTTTCACTGATCTTTTAAAAGCTGTTTCACTGTTTAAATATATTTTCATTTGTCCAAGAATTACAGTTTGGGCTGTATTACTGAAAAAAATTGTACAAAAAATATACTTCTTGATCCAACTATTGCGTTACTAGACGCAAAATTTATCATTTTTGTTTTTGACAATGCGCCCTTAGAGAGAAGATTGTAAAAACTCAAAAAATTTTCTATTTCTGAAAAAAAACTATCAATTTACTTTTTTTTGCCCTAAACGAGCATGTGTTTCCGGGCTATTTTATCAAAAAAATCAATCATATAGGTTTCTTCAAGTCAAAACAATTTTTTAGGATTTTTTACTACCCCCTTTTGGTAGCTAGTAACGAGTTGCCACCAAGAAATAGTTCAACGGTTAAGCATAAGTGAATTGTGTACCTGGTAAAGAAACTCGAATCTCCCCCACCCCCCCCCCCCCCCCTATTTGCAAAGGGGTATTTAAAGAGATGCCTTTTTATTATCCTCCCGTATTTTCATTTCCGTAAGTCACTCAACACTTTTCCAGCTTTCTGTTCGCTATGTTTAGGTTCTCTAAGGATTTTGCACTCATCATGTTTTTCAGGCTACCAACCTACGATGAAAACAGCGATGCCCCGTATGTGCCGAAAATACAAGTACCCCCAGCTGCCCAAAACGGTCACGCGAATGGAGATCTTATTGACGTAACTCCAACGGCACCTCCAAACCATACAAATGGCTCCAGTGAGACTGAGTTTGGAAGCCAGAATGGATTTGAATTAGACGCAGAAGATACGCGATAAGCAAAAAGGCGGTGGCTTGCGGAAAAAACTGCGAAAAAAAACTAAATTACTGCAAACTAAATCTACATTCAAAAAAATTTTATCCACTCTCCTATCCGTAAAACCATACGACATATAATTAGGGCGATTTCGTTGCACATTTATTAACCATTTTGAGCTTATTTGTTGTTAGCACTTTAAAATTTTTAAGTTACAACTCAGGACTTATTTTAAAAATAACTCCTACGCAAGCGTGCTTGATATACTTAACTGACCGCAAATTAGTTGAAAGAAAATTTTATTAATTCAAAACTAGATAAATGCATTGTAAATACAGTTCTTTCCTGTAAATCCTTGAGTTTCATTTTTTTCAAATCATACCTGTAATTAATTCATTTGCTTCTTAAAATAAACAAAACCGATGATATTACTCAGATGAAAAGACCGAATGAAATTAAGGCTACGCAATCAGAACTGAGTTTAGAAAAGTCATAAAAGTGTGAATGTTTCCTATGAATAAAATGCGGCCGAGGAAGTTAGACGACAACTAAATTAAACGACCGTAATAAAACGGAATTTAGGCGATAACTTTTTGTGAATTTAGACGAGTAAAAACTATTTTATTTAGAATGAAGTTATACAAAAAGAATATATGACACAAAACTGATCAAAATTTTTATCGTAAGTTATTTATAAAACATTGAACTGAAAAGTAAATGACTTGTTTGAAATGCATGAATTATATAAATGTGACATTAATAACCTGATTTGTGGTTGGACAACCAGTATTTACTCAACCAAAAGTTAGTTGAAGTCGGTAAACAACTTGCGCGCAATTTGCAGGCAAGTTTTTGTCTAAATTCAGTTACTTTCTGATCGTCTAATTTGCTTGTCTAACTTCCTAAAGCCCGAATATAACACTGCGAAACTAGCAAATAAAAATAGAACTGCCTGCAGTGAGGTTCCAGGAATAATAATCAATTTTTGTGGTCAAGAACAGTGCCATTATACTTGATTAAAGTTTTACTTTGGGACCACACAATTGATTATTATCCATTATAATCAATTTTAATGGTTTACAATGACACAAAATTCCAGGTGATTTTTTTTCTTTACTCTTTAAAAAGTCCATTACTGACGTTGAAAATATCAAGGAAACCGTTCCCGCACTGACAAAAATGGTTTCGGATCGATTTAAATTGATTTTAAATCGATTTTAAATCAATCCAAATTGATTAACAATGTACATTTTACGAACTTAAATGGATTTCAAATCAATTTAAATCGATCTATTTTGAAATTTTTGATCGACTTAAGGATCTAAAAAATCGATTCAAATCGATTTGGATGGATTTTCCGACTCACTAAAATGCATCGGAAACTCACTTAAATCCATCCGAATCGCATTTAAATCCATATTAAATCCATTTGAATCAATCTTTCTTGAAAACTTTGGATTGATTTAAGAGTGTTAAAAATCGATTTAAATCGATATGGATGGATTTTCAGACTCACTAAAACCAACATTTTTGCTAACATGGCAAAAAAAAACTTTTCAGAAAAAAATTGAAATAGTATATTTAGAAAAAAGGCAGATGTTATAAAACTCAATAAATTGATAAACATAAATCAGATTTTAAGCTCGAAAATATGCAATGAAAACATAGAAAATCATTGTAAACCAGGTTATGGGCAAAAACCTATGTAACAAACAAAAAAATTGTCAGAATAAAGTAAATTCTGATCTCAATAAAATGCAATTAAATCAAAGAAAATCATAAATGTAAATCAGACTATGGGCAAACATATGAAACGAATCAAAAAAGAGTCAATATAGATCAGTTTTTGAACTCCAATCATAGAATTTTATCGATATTTTGGTCTTTTTATTAGATCTTTTTTTATGCTACAATACGTTATCGATGTAAAATGAAAATTGATAGGCAATGAATAAATGCAATAAAAATTTGAGACTGATGAAACTCGAATGAAAAAATTTGACTTAAATCGATTTAAATCCGTTTTAATCCCCTTAAAAACAAAAACAAATTAAGACTGGAAAAAATGGATTTAAATCGATTTAAATTTGATTTGGATCAATTTTTGTAGCTGGAAATTACGATCAATTTAAATCGATTTTAAAACGATACAAATCAATCTTTATCTTTTTTATTTAGTCTTCATACTTTTTTCATACTAAAATCGATCTAATTTTTTTCAACATACTTTTTTCATACTAAAATCGATCCTAATCCATTTTTGTCAGTGCGGGTAAATTCACATGTTAAAATTTGCAAAAAATATGAACAAAATTTAAAATCAGCTTTGTTAGAGATTAAGTACTGACTGTACAAACTGTGAAAGACTTCAAAACTTGAAATTAACAACCAGAAATTTGCATGTCTTGAAAATTTCATATAGTTTTTTGACTGCGACGTTTTTCCTGCACTTTCACGGCTGTTGAATTCTTTGCTGGTTGCTGGAGTCTTGATTCTACTACTGCGTTTAAAATCTAAACAGTGAAATCAGCGAAAAAAAATCATAAAAGAACGAAAAAATATATTAAACTTCAACTTTTGACTTGCTGGACTTTGAAACACTTCCAAGTTGCGATAAGAACTCTATATATTTTGGCCTAATGTGAATATTAATTTTTCAGTAGAAGTTTCATTGCCTAGAAGGCCGCTTGTGCCCTCAAGAGACGGTGACTCAACCTAGTTAAAATTATATAATGCGTTTATTATCGTGTTTAGGCGTTTTTGAGATACAAATTTGAGCCAACTAAACAGCACACAGAAAACAAAATGAAACGGAATAAAGCGCGGTGACGGTTGGTGAACAATATTGGATTATAATTGATTTAAAATGGATTATAATTCAACTAAAATTTTGAAGAAAACATTTTCAAAAAAAATCCATTATAATCGATTGATTCGAAAAATGGTTTGTATTGTTTCGAAAAAAGTAACAATATAATCCATTTTCAATCGATTATAATAGATTCTTTTTGACATTTATGGAGACGGTCAATGAAAATCCATTATAACTGATTATCATCCATGGCACGTCATTCCGGGTGATACGTGTTGTCTGCTTGTCAGTCCAGAAACAAGAACTGTCATGAAAGCACTTTCCATGACCGCAAATTTCTAGTGCTTTTTTAATGTTGTCTCAATGTGCGTCTACCCATTTTTTGCCGACTGAGTGGGTGCTTGATAAACTGTTAAAATAATAATTAATGCTAAGGGTTGTGTTTTCTGACCTTTTTTCTGAAATTATGGAGACGTACAATGAAAATCCATTATAACTGATTATCATCCATGGCAACGTCTTTCCGGGTGATACGTGTTGTCTGCTTGTCAGTCCAGAAACAAGAACTGTCATGACAGCACCTTAGCGGTTATCGACGTATAGCGAGTCAGCTGGTAATTACAAGAAAGTGTTTTCCTTGTCTTGATTTAGCTTCAAATCTATTAACAAAGATTTACGTTTTTGCATGAAGCTTTCTGCGACTCAAATTTTTCTCTTTGTCTTTTCTGTCATACCCCCTAAATTATGAAAAAGAGAAAGGAAAAATTTTATAATAAAGTTGGATTGATATTACTAAGAAAGGCAAGATAGCATTATACGACTGGCCGAAAAAAATTGAAAACAAGTCATAAAGACAATGCTTAAACTAGATTTTGCTTTTTTGCCCTTTTATCCACACAAATTTCATAATTATGAGCCTAAATGCGTTTTAATTGTCGCTTACTTTTTCTGCAAATTTCCAACCTAATTCAACCCACCGAACATAAGCTCTTCATTTATACTAAAATTGATCCAATTTTGTGAAAAAAAAATTGATTTTTACACTTGAGAGAGCACCTGTCATGTATTAAGCTTCGAAAACTATAATTTTTACAGTAAAAAACAGCTCTTGAAAATGTTGCTTTTATTCTTGTTTTGTTGTTGTTGAGCCTTATCAAATGACCCTTAACCATTTGGCTTAAGCATAGAAGGTTGCTTTTCTTAGCTCAGTCCTGGTTTCAAATCTCGACCGGACTTTGTTTTTTTTTCATTGTGTACGAAAATTAAATTTGCTTCCGGGAAAACTGAGTTTTCATCTTCTGAATTGCCCTCTTATGGTTTGTTAGAATAGTTGCATCATCGGTTAATTTTTTGTGCTGTCAGCTTTTCTCATGTTGATGCAAGTGTTTTTCGCTTCCTCCTGTGTTTTTTCAAATTGGTAGACCTGGCAATGTATATAATTTTTTTATAATTACAAAGCTTTCTTTGGCCTTAATAGTTTTGGCTCATGTTTTATTGTCTTAATCACTTTCTTTTGTGTCATATTAAGCTTCAAAGGCAAAATTATTTGACTTTTGTTTATAACAGCGAGTTCGAATTGGAACATTTCAAAATTTGAAAACTAAATTGCCTAAAATTTTCCATGACCGCAAATTTCTAGTGCTTTTTTAATGTTGTCTCAATGTGCGTCTACCCATTTTTTGCCGACTGAGTGGGTGCTTGATAAACTGTTAAAATAATAATTAATGCTAAGGGTTGTGTTTTCTGACCTTTTTTCTGAAATTATGGAGACGGACAATGAAAATCCATTATAACTGATTATCATCCATGGCAACGTCTTTCCGGGTGATACGCGTTGTCTGCTTGTCAGTCCAGAAACAAGAACTGTCATGACAGCACCTTAGCGGTTATCGACGTATAGCGAGTCAGCTGGTAATTACAAGAAAGTGTTTTCCTTGTCTTGATTTAGCTTCAAATCTATTAACAAAGATTTACGTTTTTGCATGAAGCTTTCTGCGACTCAAATTTTTCTCGTTGTCTTTTCTGTCATACCCCCTAAATTATGAAAGAGAGAAAGGAAAAATTTTATAATAAAGTTGGATTGATATTACTAAGAAAGGCAAGATAGCATTATACGACTGGCCGAAAAAAATTTAAAACAAGTCATAAAGACAATGCTTAAACTAGATTTTCGCTTTTTTGCCTTTTTATCCACACAAATTTCATAATTATGAGCCTAAATGCGTTTCATAATTATGAGCAAATTTCCAACCTAATTCAACCCACCGGACATAAGATCTTCATTTATACTAAAATTGATCCAATTTTGTGAAAAAAAAATTGATTTTTACACTTGAGAGAGCCAGTGACACTTAATCGAAAACTATAATTTTTACAGTAAAAAACAGCTCTTGAAAATGTTGCTTTTATACTTGCTTTTTTGTTGTTGAGCTTTATCAATTGACCCTTAACCATTTGGCCTAAGCATAAAAGGTTGCTTTTCTTAGCTCAGTCCTGGTTTCAAATCTCGACCGGACTTTGTTTTTTTTTTCATTGTGTACGAAAATTAAATTTTCTTCCCGGAAAACTGAGTTTTCATCTTCTGAATTGCCCTTTTATGGTTTGTTAGCATAGCTGCATCATCGGGTAATTTTTTGCGCTGTCAGCACTTCTCATGTTGATGCAAGTGTTTTTCGATTCCTCCTGTGTTTTTTCAAATTGGTAGACCTGGCAATGTATATATATTTTTTATAATTACAAATCTTTCTTTGGCCTAAATAGTTTTGGCTCATGTTTTATTGACTTAATCACATTCATTTGTGCCATATTAAGCTTCAAAAGCAAAATTATTTGACTTTTGTTTATAACTGCGATTTCGAATTGGAGCATTTCAAAATTTGAAAACTAAATTGCCTAAAGTTTTCCATGACCGCATATTTGTAGTGCTTTTTTAATGTTGTCTCAATGTGCGTCCCATTTTTTACCGGCTTAGTGGGTGCTTGATAAGTTGTTAAAATAATAATTAATGCTAAGGGTTGTGTTTTCTGACCTTTTTTCTGAAATTGTTCTCCTTTTTCATTTTTTTCTATTTTGTGATTTCATCTAATTTGTATTCACTTGCTAGCAATTCTGAGCTTGATTATACCGCAAGTAATTCGAAACTCCACTTCGCCTCTCTGTTTTCTTTGTTTTTTAAGGGAGTAAAAAAATTAAGATTCAATTTTTTATCACGAGAATCCTTCCCCATTTCGATTTTCAATTTTGATGATCTACTAGGCAGAAGAGACGAATAGCAGAAAAAATCTAGTTTCATTAAAATTTTAATAACAGCCCGTTGATTATGCTTAACAAAACCTTTTTAAAACTGTGTTTTTGGCGCAAAATTATTGTTTTTTATCCTGCTGTCATGAAAGTTACTCCGCAGTCACATTTTTTAAATTGTTATCCTTGCAAGTCAAAACAATTTTGATCAGTTTATCTCTTATTTTTTCTAGCATTTGAGAAGTTTGCTGCCATCGTAATATTTTTGCTAACTGATTCTCAATTTCAGTTCTAGCAACAAAATGCCACAAAAACTTGACTGAAAATTGGGGTCACAAACCTTTCTCAAGGTCACAAACCTTTCACCGAACGCAGAGACTTTTTGATGTTCAATTGAGTTGTTTCAACAGCTTGTAAAAAAAATTAACACAAACTGCAAAATGAAAAATTATGACTCGATGTAAGTGTAAAATTTACAAACGTTTTATCCTATTCTTACACAAAGTTTTTTAAGATAACAATAATTTTTCTATATGTTGCTAGTGAGGGATTTTAAATTTAAAATCTTTCAAAAATTGAATTTATAATTTAGGCTGGTAACGGTTATGTTATTATTTGTTTTTTGATTGTGAGCACAACAGAAAGAATTTCATGAAAAAAAAAAGTTTTTGATATAAATACTGCTGAGTCTTTCTGGTACAGTTTTTTTGTCATTTTGTTCTCATCATTTGCGCTTTGTTCGAATTTATTTCGCGTGTATGTTAGTTCTTGTTAGTTAATATATTTTAGGTTAATTTATAATATATTTTTAATATAAGATATATTTTGGGAATGTTAATTTTTCAAATATCTGGCTCAATCTAAATTGTTGTAAATTGGTTGTAATTGGAGTTTGATTTTTTTCCTTCAACTTTTTTGGCCAAAAAAGTTTTGGTTTAATTAGAATCAATTTAGTGGCTCTTTAAAGCGTAGTTTGAGATCTGAAACAAGTTTTTGTGTGCGTGGGTGTTCTGAGGGGAAAGGAGACTTGCAGTATATTAAATTAATTTTTGATTTTTTTCCACTTTTTTCGACTTTAAATGTTTCTGCTCAGGTTATTTCGGCTTTGTTACCACTTGCTAATAATACTTTCATTCAATTGTCCTGTGGTATCTGGCGTAGAGTTAACACAACCGCTAAAAAAGACAAACGCTTCTCGTACTTTTTTTACCAGCGGTAGCAGGTGTAATGCAACCATGCGTTAACTTTTTTTAATGTAAATATTTTTGATCAAACGACTCTTGTGATAGATCCATCCCCTGGTCCCCTCTGCTTGAAGTAGTTGAACATACATTTTTCTAGCAATGACATTGGTTGTAATTTTACTAACTTGATTTCTGAAAATTTTACCAACTTCGAATTTTCATTTTTTTTTAATAGTTTTCCGTCCTGATAGGTTTCAGCCTAAATAATTTTGGATTAGTGTCCTCATTTTGTAACGTTTGATGTACGTGTTTTTGTGCGTGCATTTTGAGTTCAAGGGGATGTAAAATTTGATGATTCGTTTTTAGACTTTTTCAAATTTTTTTGATTTTTGAAAATGTCATTGACAAAAATCTGAGGCCTCATCATTTTGGCGAATAAAATTATAGAAAATGTTTTTAAAAAAAATCCATTGATAAAGAGCCGATTAAATTAGTTCTAAAAACTAGTGTCCCATTGCAGCCCGAGAAGCGACTGAAATTTTCGTGCATCATTTTTCCTTTACGACATAGTTTTTTGGTACTTGACATCACGAAAGAGAACTGGACCCGATAACGGAAATCTATACATAAGCCAAATCACATAATCTGAGGTCCCGGAATCGAGCGCGTGATGGTTTAAAAAAATTGCAAAACTAGAAATTGAAAAACTTTCCTTTAATATAATCAGTTTAAATTAGTTTTTTGAAATACATGAAACTATTTGACCTAGTTGAGACGAAAAATATCCCGAAGGTTTTTGTTACTGTGATTTTCTTTTCGAGGGTTCAAGTTAATCTCGACATCATCTGAAGACGAGGATGACATCACTTGCAGTACGGCAGTTGTAGTTCTGACCTCTGATTCAGCGAATTGACCTCTTTCAAGTTGACTGTTTTTGATGCCGTAAAATAAGTATACCAGTATTCCAACACTCATCCAGGCACCAAATCTAATCCAAGTTGAGAAGTTCAGTTGAGTCATAAGGTAAATATTGACAAAAACTGACGCCCCTGGAAGGTAGGGAACAAATGGCACTCGGCAATTTGCTTTCAGGTTTGCTTTATTATCAACCGATATCAGCGATAAATATGTGAGAGATAACACAGTGAACACTAAAAATATGCCAATAGAAGCCAAGTAAGCAATCATATAATCTGCGGTCTCAGAGTGCTGCGCGAGGTTTATGAAAACGTTTGTTATGGTTGAAAAAATAACAAATGTCAGCAAAACTAAAAACTGTCGCATCGTGAACGTTTCGCGGTTTTTCACTAAGGCCTTTGATTCACTTATAGGGAAAGGTTCTCCGGTAATCAGATCCAAAGGATGGTATCTTAGAACTATGACTGACAGTGCAATAAGCAGATAGGCTAAAAGTGTTCCGATCGACAAAAACTCTGCTAGTTCTTTGAGAGTCAGAAAAAATGAGAACAGACAAATCAGGATGGAGCCAACGCCTGTGGCAATTATCGGAACGTGAGTTCGGCTACTGACTTTCGATAGAAATTTAAACACAATTCCGTCCGAAGCCATGGCGTAAAGTGATCTTGGCATTGTGATCATACAGCCTAAAAGAGTGCAGATCATTGCAGCTATCGCTCCCGCACTTGAAATATTCTTAGCCCACTCCCACTCATTATACGCAAAAGCAGACGCAAACGCCGAATCGTCGCTGATTTGCGTGTAGGGAATCATAAGAGTCAACGAAGCCGAAACACCACAATACAGAAAGCCGGAAAAGAAGACTACAAACGTTAATGCAAATGGTACTGAAAATCCAGGGGTCAACGCTTCTTCACTCGCCACAGTCAGAACGTCGTAGCCTACAAACGCATAGTAAGCTTGAGCTGCGCCCTCAAAAATAGACGAAATTCCGTTGGGAGCGAAGTTAGTCCAGTTGCTCGTGTCTGCTAGTATGATGCCACAGATGATGAAGAAGAAGGCGACTGCCAAATTGACACATGTGAGGACGTTGTTCACAAACACCGACTGTCTGATTCCTGGAAATCAATGGCAAAGAGATAGTTAGATGCATGTTGGAAAATGTGCGATTTGCCTTTTTGGTGTGCGTGACTGAGGTGCAAAGGTGAAGGATTTTGTGGACATTTTTAGAGCCCCTTGTTCAAACACAAAAAAAACTATTGTGAGGAAAACTGATGATAATTTTCAAGTCTTGATTTTATCATATTTTTTAAAATGTCCCTACGTTGCGTTAAATCTAGGGGCGGATTTAGGGGGGGGGGGCAATGGGTGGGGAGACCCTGTTTTTTCTTTGGTGCTATTTTAGAACAATCATTTTTTGTTGACCCACCCTAAAGACGCTTTTGGCGCCAATATATAGTAATTTTGAGATGGGGGGGGGAGCGTGCGCCAAAAAAACGCAATTTTTTCTGTTAAACCTTTCAAAAAGTTCCTAGTAATGTGTGCTTGGCTGTGGCAGAAAAATTTTGGCCAAAATAGGGTCTTTATCTTGATCAAATTTGTTTACCTTCAATAAATTTGTAGATCCGCCCCTGTTTGCAACTTTTGCAAAAAAGGGACTCTAGGGAGCATGGAAACTCAATGGTCAATTCACAACAATTTTGAATGTCTACTCTTTTCACATACAATTTGACTTTAATCAATTTGCTATGCAAAATTGTGAAAAGAAAATAGAACACTTACCCATGCATACAACAAGTGCCAGAAACACAATGATGATAGGGGCATACGGGTCGAAGTTCCTGCTCAACAGAGCTTCAGGAGTCGCTTTTATGATAGCGTTATTCGAAATGGCATTTATATATCCAAGCAAGCCTCTGGAAACAGCCGCGGCCCCTATAACATGTTCCATTACCAAGTTCCAGCCAATCACAAAAGCGAGAAGTTCTCCGATCGTCAAGTACGTGTACGTGTAAGCCGAGCCCGCTTTCGGAACTCTGGCTCCAAACTCGGCATAACACCACGCTGACATTCCGCTAGCAATTGCGGCGATGAGGAAGGAAACGACAAGTGCGGGTCCGGTGATTTCGTGGGCTATCTCACCTGCCAAAACGTACATACCGCTTCCGACCATCCCGCCGATTCCGATCAAAATGAGATCAAAAGTCGTGAGGCATCGGTTCAGCTCCGTTTTCATAGCGTCTCCTTGAAGCCTCCTCCGACGCAAAAACTTCCCAAGCAAATTGCTACCGCTCATTTTAGTGACTGTACTAGTTACAAATTTTGCCGGTTCTGTAAAAAATACTCACAATTTATGTTCAAAATTTTCAGATAAATATTATGATCCGATTAGTGAGATTTTGAACCGAATTATAAGTGAAGAGGAGTCAACATAAAACGGATGTTTGGTTCCAGGAGAGCTCAAATACAAGCAAGGATAAATTTTGATCGCTTAGGGTCCAAGCTGTATAAATTGTTATCAAAATTTTGTTCACCTGGAGTTGAATAAAACTATCGGTAAAATTCAATTCATAAATAAACGTTTTGTTTGAGAATCAGCAGAATAATCATTAGATTATGTTACGACTTTAAGGTATATCAAGATTTGAAGTTTTGATACAAATTATTAAAAAAGCTTGTTTGTTGATACAAAAAGCTAGTTTGATATAAATTATAAGAGTTTTGTTAGCTATATCAATACACAAACTAACAAACCATGAAAACAGTTTTATTGGTAGTATTGGGTTCGTTCTGCCTTATTTCAGGTATAAAATTGACATTCAAAGTTTTGACTTCATTCAAAGTTTTATACTTTTCCCAATAAAAAAACTTATCTCAATTTGTGGTATCGGAGTCGAAACATGCGCAGTTCTCTGCAAATGTTAATGATCAGATCATAGAAAGAGATGCATGTCTCGCAAGTACAGGTTCAAAATCTATAGAAAGAGAGTTGGCCACGCATAATGCAAATAAGAATCTGTAGTTTTATATAAAAAGCAGTCGGCTTAGGTTTTAGGATGTTTTTCATATTTCGGTAATTGCATACATACCGATTAATTTAAGAAATAATTCTTCGCTCAACTTTTAGCGTCCTTGTTTTCAACTGATTTTGTCCATTCAGTTCGTCATACTCTGTGTTACTTAATTATATAGATGGGCGTCTAAATTTGATTTCTTTTTAGATCTCATGATAAATTTTTCTGAGCAACAGTTAAAAAATTGATTATTTTAGATATTTACAAAATTATGTATTTTGGATTCAATTTTTCTCCCAAAAATTTGCCGGAAAAACAGTTTCGATCTTTCATCTGATAGCCAAGTATTGAAAAAAAAGGCGTCTTTTTCCACCTCTTGTAATTTTTTGCACATATAACTGTAGTGATGTTTGGAGGAGGCAACGAGGAGACAACGAAAACTGCAAGCCTATATTTTCAATTTTCTCCGTTTTTTTAAATCTTTCTCTCAAATCATTTGATCGATGCATTTTGTCATCCAGGTTTAATTCTTAGGTTAGGTTAGTTTCGGTAAGAAGGAAACAGAAACTGATAATCTCTGTGGAGTTGAATTGGTGAGTGAGCACTGAAATGATTGTCCAATAAGCCCGGAAACCTCTTTCTTGTTCAAAAAAACATCTTTGGCAAAAATCAACAGCACTGCTCTGGTCAAAAGGCCATGATTGCGATTTTAGACTACAAATGAAGACATAAGAAGCCTTGGGTGCATGCAGGTCGACTTTCGAGCCTAAATTGTGATTCAAAAAAATTATTTGTTATGATTCGTTTTCACGAAACAGACCAATATGGTAGTGCTAGCGCTCGATCGACCTAGTGTTTTTAAAAGACCCGTAGTATTAGTAGCTAGTAGTAGAACAAATTTAGTTCGGAGGGGTGAGGAGGGTGCGGAAAAGAGCAGGAGTGAAAATTTGTAGCTTGTTCTAAAATCTTTTAAATGGCCATTTATTGTTTTAGATTATTCAAGAAATTTTATACAGATGACTGATCACTGTTTACTCTTCCCTTCCAATACTCAATTATCACATATTAATTGAGTAAACATTTACAAATTAAAAAAAATATAGCTGAGTTCAAAATGTAGCTTGAAAACAAATTTTGGTTTATGAAAAAAAAAATTTCAGCAATTTTTTTCAGCAATATAATTAGCTGATACAAACATCTGGAATCTTCAAAAAAAAATAGAATTTTTTTTATTTCTGCTGAAAAATCAATTTTACTATTTCTTGAATTGAGTAATGTTATTCAAAATGAGCTTTCGAAATCTTAATGTTGATGATTGTATGGATACTGAGACCCAAAAGTTTTACCGGAATTTTAGCTTCATCATCAACGTTTCGATCGTTTAATGAAGATTAAAACGATTCAGACTTCTAGTCAGACGAGCAAGAATTCGAAAATCTTGAAAAAAAGCAACAACAACCATGGGAATCATTTTGCAATGGTTGTTTTGATGGGCAGTAAAGGCAGTTTAGAGAGAAATCTTTGATAAAGAAATGCAAAAACTATATCTGAGCCTGTTTCGCCAAACAATTCCTACACCAAAAAAGTTACGTCAAAGTCGATTTGAACAAAGTCAAGTTCTTCACACAGAAAAACAGACACCTCAAAGCTATTTCAAAAAAAAACCTGAAAAGTCCTCGTGTAGAAAATTGTTTCGAACTTTTACTAACAAATATTTGCATTCAAATTTAACTACTATCTTTCAATTCAGCATACACATAGTAACTCAGTTAAATTATCTTAAATGGCATCAAAAAAACTAATAACAAAAGATTATAATTTTTATTGTCCAATAGAAAGTTCAGTCATAAAACGGACAAAAAATTTACTAGCATAGCAAGATAAAAGACATCACTCAATTTGATTTTACAAAGACTGAAAATTGAACACGTCATCTGCTAGATAATCTGTGTTATTACAATTTGATTGAACTCAATTAAAATAAACTTCTTTTGCTTCTACTGTCATGCAATCATTAATCGTTCATTGTGTTGATTATAAATACGTAGAATCTGTAACCATTTCAATTGCCCGCCTGGTGAAAGGACATGAAATTCGTCCAAGTAAAAACGTATTTAATTTCTATTATTCGCTGTTTTTTATTGTTGAAGATTACAAAGCCAAATATTATTGGCTCATCGTGACAAGTTGTTTTCCCAGACATCTCAATTCAAAAAAGATTGTCATCAATCACATCGTAGGCCCTGAACAATAACAACCAATTTTACTATTTCTTGAATTGAGTAATGTTATTCAAAATGAGCTTTCGAAATCTTAATGTTGATGATTGTATGGATACTGAGACCCAAAAGTTTTATCGGATTTTTAGCTTCATCATCAACGTTTCGATCCATTAATGAAGATTAAAACGATTCAGATAAAAGTTTGCATCGTCGAAAATTTTTGTTAACTCAATCTTCTATTGTTATCTCGTAGTTTTCCTCACCTGTCTTTCCTTTTTTTTGGGTATGTATGATTACCGCCTGTTTCAGAACTTTTTGAGACTCAGCGTCTAATGTGTTTTTAGTCCTGCAGTTTGGAGAAGAAGGCGGAAAATGATGATGAAGATGTTTCGGAAAGCTTATCAAAAGACTCCAAATAAGCAGATGGAAAAAAAATTATTTGCCGACACTCAATATGCTTTGAGAAAATGGTCTAATGAGGTAGCTGCTGCCAAAACCTAACTAATCTGTCTTTAAAACGAAATGAAGGCAAGGCTAATGAGAAAAATGTATTAATCTTCTTGATAACATTGATTTTTGCGAATAGATGAAAACTGACTTAATATTTGAAATATGAAATTGCGAATTAAACTTAAGTCATAAAATCCGCTTTTGAATCCAGTCACTGCTAACTGTTCGATAAAGGATTTTAACTTTTTGTATAATTGAAATAATTTGTCAAGTTAGATGCAATTTCGTTCATATGAGCTTCTTGGTAATCAATTATTTGTCTCAATTGCTCAATTGTTCCAAGATATCCTCAATGTTTTACAATTGAATAGCAGTATTTTGTTAAGATCACTCATATATTGCATCAATGAATGAAAAAGCTGTTGTGATGAATGAAAAAGGACCATTGTGATGAATCGCAACAGGTAATGGTATAAGTTGTTTTGTGAAACGCAATTTTCTCGTAGATATAAATGGTCAGAAAGATCTTGGTGTTCGCCGTTCAGCCGAACAACTGGTTCAAGGATGGATTCAAAATCGAAAGTAACAAATGATTGATAAAAACGTAGCTCGTGTGGCATACGTATACCAATTCGAATTTATCAAAAAGGGAAGAGTTTGAACTGTATTTTCCACCTGGGTAAACATGCCCTTGTCTCATTATTAGAGTTTTTATATTGATTTTCAAATTTTTGAGCACTTAGTAGAAAAAAAAAATTGGAACAGAGATATTTTTTGAACAATTGTTCAAATTGTTAATCAAACCATAGTGATCTCAATTGTGAGAAAACTAATACGGTTATTTCTATCCTCGATACAACAATCCAAGTTTCTAAATGAAGAATCGACATTGCTGTCATCTTCAAGGGCATAGAGAAAAATTTAAATTTCAAAAAATCTCTCTACTTCCTCAAAATTTTCATAATTTCTGCCTCCGAAATCTTCCATATTTGCTACGTTCCTCGATCAGTAAAAATCAAAAATTTTGTCTATTCGTTCAATCAGATGTTCATTTTGACGCAACCGAAAAGCATCCAATGCTCTAAAAACGCTAAGGTTGTCATTATAAGAAACTTCCATCATGATTTTTGAGTGTCCACACTGCTGAGCTGTGTTTAATAAAGAACGGCTCAGTATCTTCTTGAATTGGTATGCCGAGAATATGAGTCGCCAGGACATTACATTTGTTGAGAATTAAAAAATTTACTTGATACATCTCTCCAGTTTGCTGTGTTTTCTATAGTTTCTGTATACAATATTATGCATTGAAAAGAAGTAAGTTTGCTTTCATTCTCATTAATTTTTGGGTTTGAGTAGAATTGCCGTTTTTTCACTGGAAAAGTAGCACCGGTAATCATTATTTGCCTTTTTTGGTAGCAATTTTCCAAACCAAACTAGAATTGTTGACAATTGAGTCAATTTTTGAAAAGCTGTATCCATGGATTTCTCTATTTTGTCACACCAATTTTGTTTCAAATCGAAACTAAAGATAGTTTGGTGGGGCTGCTGAA